CAAACTATATTGGTAACGGATGATTAATTTAGCTAGAGCCTTTTGTGTTATTTGAGTCCTTTGTGTTTCATAAAAATTCCTCGCCACAGTTTGAGCGGTCTACCGCGGCCGCCTTCACATTCTCTCTGCTGTTTCTTTCTTACGCCCAGAGCTACAAGTAATTCACGAGACGGAGCAGTTCTTTGTGGATTTGATGGCCAACATTGGCGCCTACCTTCGGTCTGCCAGCCTCCTCTCCAAGGTCCGTCGCATTCGGCACGGACGCATTCGCCTGCATGAGAGTCTCCTGCTCAAGCAGTGCACAGTCCCCCTGCCGCTCTATGAGAAATTCGTAGAGTTACGTCTGCAACCACCCTCCTCGGAGTCGGAGGTGGCGGCGGAGGAGGAGGGGGATGAGGCCCACCAGGACTCCGTGCTCTCAGAGATCACTACCTCCCTGCCCCAAGACTGTGTGCCGAACATCTTCACAAACCTCCTTCAGTGCACCCGACTGCATAGAGCTCAGCCCGGATATGGGACTGTAACCCCTGCTCATCTACCATTACCTGCTTAACTGTAAAAATACTTTTCTTTCATCATGCCCTTCAATTTTCATTTTTTTCTGTCAATTCTTGTTGAGGTTGGGCAACTGGAGGGGAAGGGAGTTAGTCATGTACAATTGGTTGTGCATTAGACCTGATTGAGGTCCCTAAGACGTTACGCGGTGACTTTAACATGAGGAATAAGAGGGCTGCTCGATCGGCGGAATCGCACCTTTTATTCATTTTAACTTGCGAACTCTTAACGTAGTTCGTCGTCAGATAAAGTAGCAAGCAACAGTTATAGGGGGTAGGGGGCAAATAAACGTCAGTTAAACCGATTCGCGGGTGACTGTGAGGGGTACTATATGCCGGCGCCAGATCGATAAATCGATGGGGCGAATTCTAATCAGAGGCTGAAGCTTCAATCGATCCGAGGCTTTTTTATAGTGTGGACGATTATCTTTGCGGCTGCGACGTTAAACTCGTGACTCGCCTCATAGATGTGGTCAGCCAAATAAGCATCCTTATACCGGCGCCAGATCGATGTATCGATTGACTGGGGCCCCATCAGGCGTCGTAAAATCCAACCCCACCTCCACGCTGGTGCGCGCCGGA